TTTTTTTTTTTTTTCTTCTTTTTAAATAGAACTTTTCTCGATCGGTCGAACTAATTTCACCTCGCCATACCGTGCAAATTTAGAGCGATATTCGCATTTAATTCTTTTTACTCGTCGATGGGAATTGTTATCTACAGATTTTTTGTTTCTTAAGAAAAGAACTCAGATTGTCCGTGGACGGTTAATTAGTGTAATAAAAATATTGCAAGGAGAGAGAAAAATACGAAAAGCTGTTCGATCGAACACAGGCGCGTGTAATTGTTCCTCGGTCGATCATGAACCGAATGGTCGGTTCATGAAGGCGGAGGCGGAGGCGGATGGTGGACAAATGAAAGGGACCGCAAAAGGTTGGCGTGACTTGGCGGTTGATTAAACCGAAACGCGAGCACGAGGCAGGTACCTACCTTCTGGCTGAGTGAACGCGTGCGAGGGGAGCCCGGTGTGCCGTGCGTACACACGTATCTGCCAAGGGAAGATGGCGCCGTCACCGAAATGGCTGCACCTTCGCGTTGATAAAACGCGGGAAGCCCGCGGAACTATACCTGTGAAAGGTGCGCGTCGACGATATAGGGCTGCCAAGGGTGGGGAGAGGTGGCGGTAACGCGAGAACGACAGAGAGGGGAAAAAAAGAAGTCGGATATCACCCCTAGTTACGAGCGGTAACGAGGGGCGGAGTCGGGCGAGCTCTCTCGCACACCTGCTTCGTTTCGAACTGGCCGTGGTCACTCACCCCCGTTCTTATCCCTCTTAAAGGCTACGCCATGACAAACGCGTTTATGTTAACCGCCGAGGGTCGCGAGAAATGGCCGTTTCAACGGGCTTTAATGGTTGATTCGCTCGGATCGTTTCCTCAAGTGGGGGAGAGCGTGGCGTTGTATCCTCGTGTTCGCAGAATTGCAAGGGTCAAGCGAAATTGTCTCATCCGGGAGAGCGAGAGAGACCTATTGCTACTTTGCAATATTTGCGTAGATGGCAATTATTTCGAGTCGAAATGGAGTATTTAGAGGTAGAGCTGCCAGGTACGATAGCACGGTAGCAGGGGAAGAAGTAGCAGATAAAGTCATTGTGACGTCTGGAGGCAGATTGCCTCGACGCGTTCGACGCGTTAGCTCGCGGGGGTGGGATGAGCGAGAAACGGGAACAAAGGCGCGCGACGTCGAAACGGGAAACGGCAGAGGACGGGCCGATTAGCAATCGCCATGGAAACAAGCAGTTGATGCGATCAACCCCTGACGCGCGTGAAGAGGAAAGAGGCCGATTCGCGGCGTGCGCGTACAATCATAGGTGCTGTGCCTATATACGCGTATATAATACGATTTGTATATAGATATAAGCGACAGATCTCTATATGCGAGAATGGGAACGGGAACGGGAACGGCTTGGGAGGCATACAGCGGCCGTATTTAAAGCGGTCGACGAAATGCCCCTCGGTGTGTGCGTACGCGCGATGGTTGTATGGCGATACCGGGGGCCAAGCGAGAGACAGATTGGAAGAGAAGAGCGAGGCGTCGCGTGGAAAGGGAAGGAAAAAGTTGGATGGGTACGCTGTGTGGCGCACACGAGAAAAAGGAAACACAGAGAGAAACGAACGGTCGAAGAGAGAGAGGAAGAGGGAGAGACGGATGGACGCGGAAGAGGCGGAGAGATAGAGGCTCCGACAAACGCACGGGGGGTTGAGACTGGCGGTGGTAGCTGGCAGGGAGACGGCGGAATCGGTAGAAAGCAGCAGCAGTTCCCGCTCTCCGGAGCGGCTGACTGTTATCATGAGAAACAAGCTTCCACTCTGATTTTTTAATCCGATCCGCACCCCCTGCCACCGGCTGAATTTTAAAATAACTGCAGAACGCCATTTGCTCCTCGCAAACAGACCGGGGTTAAGCCATCCTCGCCACCCTCACTCTCTCTCTCTCTCTCTCTCACTTTCTCTCTCTTGCCACTTTTCTATCTTCCTGTTCCTCTCTGTTTCACCGGTACGGCCCACCTCCTCTCGCTTCCTTCTCTCGACCTTCCGTCTCTTCCAGCTTTTCCCGCTCTGTTGCCGCTCTTCCCGTTCGTCGTCTCGACTCTTTCGCTCTCTTTGCGCGCGTGCACGAGCCTTCGATCCTCGACGCTTTTGCCGGATGGATAGGATAGGACAGGATGCAGGATACGATAGCGTGGAACAACGAGGAATGTATTCTGAGAGAAAAACGAGTGTATGTGCGAGCAGCCTCTACATTCGTCGTCGTGGAGTTAGACGGCTGTGTGATGTCAAATTGAAATGTTTAGCGCCTCGTTTCAGTTGCTGCGGATCCCGCGACAGACTCCCGGGTTCAGCGCAAAAGAGACCGATGCGAGTGAAAGAGAGAGAGAGAGAGAGATGGACCGCGAAGAGAACAATCGGCACGGAAAGATATAGGGGCGAAGGGAGGATAGAAGAGACGGCAGATAGCGCGTGTTAGGCCTGCCCCGGGGAAGGGCAGATAAGTGACAGTTTTATTAATTTCCCATCTCATCCCGTCGCGACTGTATTCCCCTCCCCAACCTGCCCGATCCCGTCGACACCAGCGGAGCAACGTCAGTCGCCCGTCCACACACGTACTTTCCTTTCCTTCCCTCGTCCTTCTCCCAGTTCACTGGAACTGGCAAACAACCTGAAAATAAAGCTCAATAATGGCGGCTGCCCGTCACCGGCATCGCCGTCGACGAAGGTGCGCTTCCCCGTCGATTCCATCAACGATATTTCACGTTACGCGTTCGTACGTATTCTCTCGTGTTTGAATTGAATTTTCTAAATTTTACTTGGACAAATGATGTTTTGAAGAGAGAGAGAGAGAGAAAGAGTTAAAGTCTCTTGGGAAAACGCGTACGTCCAGTTTTACGTCGAAGGAGAACAAATAAAGAAAAACGCAGGGCGGAAGACCGCAACGTCGGGAAAGATGTCGAGATGACGCGCGGCGCGAGGGGATAGAACAAGGTAAAAAAGCCAAGAGCTCGACTGAGAGAGAGGGAGAGAGGGAGAAAGAAGAAGGGAGTGAGCATCTCTCCCAGCCGCGCGCGCTCGCCGCTGGAAAATTTAATTTCGATCCCGTCGATTCAGCAGTTATACCAAAGTTTAATCTTTGATAAGGGTTAGTCTTTTAGTAATGGGATCCCAGGGGCTCGGTCGCTGCGGACGGTTCGAGCGAGAGAGGCCAGGCGCGGCGGGGAAGGGGGGGGGGGGAAAGACGAAACGATAGTCGTGCGCTCCTTCTCTCTCTCCGCTCCTCTACGACCGGGATGGAAGGCAGGAGCTTAAACCGTTAGATAAAGATCTGCTCTCGGGATGAAAGTAGTAGCTACCCGCTTATATCGTTCCTCTAACCGAGCAGGACTCGGACTTTTATACCGAGCACCGGGGGGAAGGCGTAACGAGCCTCACGATTGGATAAGTTTCCCGACACGAGCTTCCACCGGCGGCTTTGCTTGCCATCTTCCTCTCTACTTCTTCTTCTTCTTCTTCCTCTTCTTCTTCTTCTTCTTCTTCTTCTTCTTCGTTTCTTCTCTCGTTTCTTCCTCCTCCCTCTGCCTCACGATGTGGCGGTATTCCTCTGTTACTCGATTCGACCGGAACGACGTATCGCGATTGCGTAGCGCGTGTGTGTACGCGCTATTGACATCGAAGGATTCTAACAACGAGGACAATCGAACGTATATTATTTCTGGTATCGTGCCGCTTCGCAGGAGCTGGAAAGTCGCCGCCTTTCCTTTCGAAAACAGAAAGTTCAACAGCCGCCTGATTTACTCTGTTTCAGTTACGGGATGGATCTGAACGGTGCCCGGCGAAAAAACGCGACGCGGGAGACCACGAGTACGCTGAAGGCCTGGCTGAACGAGCATAAGAAGAACCCGTACCCAACGAAGGGCGAGAAGATCATGTTGGCCATCATAACGAAAATGACGTTGACCCAAGTGTCCACGTGGTTCGCGAACGCGCGGAGACGCCTGAAGAAAGAGAACAAGATGACGTGGGAGCCGAGGAACAGGGTCGAAGACGAGGACAACAACAACGAGGACGACGACAGTGGTAGAAAGAGCGTGGACGAGAAAGACCGGCTAGGTAAGCGGCGTAGCAAACATCCGTCCACACGTGCCTTCCTCTTTGCCCCTTTCAACTTTGTGTTCCTCGTTTCCCCGGAACTGGCTTCCTCCTCTCTGTCGACGACGAAACGCGCCATCTCGCCTTTGCTCTTTCATTCGCCCAAAGACAAGTCGCCCGATTCTCTGCCACAGACTCAAAGGACTCGGGTACCGGATCGAGCGAGGACGGAGAGCGACCGGCGCATCGGATGGACCTTCTGGGCACCAGCGCTGGGTCCACCGGTGTCCAAGGTAGAACCGAGAGCGAATGGAGCGAGTCGCGAGCCGACAGCGGCCCCGACAGCCCGGAGTGCCTCTACGACCAGAGGGAGCCGAGGCATCCGTTGCAGCTTCAGCATCCGGCGTACCTCGCGTCCTCGCACGGCCGACTGTTGCGCCACCCGTCCCCGGAAAGCACGCCACCAAGTAGTCATCATCTTCCGCCGACCACGACGACCGCCTCGTCCACCGGCAGCGGGGTCGTCACCACGAAGCCGAGGATCTGGTCCCTGGCCGACATGGCGAGCAAGGACGGTGATCAGCAGAGTCCTACACCGACCACGATGACTGGCCTCTCGTCTCCTTACAGCGGAAGCGGTGGCGGTGGCGGCGGCGCTGGCGGAGGAGGGGTCGCCGGCGGTGGCGGGAAGCTGATGAGCCCTCTGGCCAGTCATCGTTTGCCGCCTCATCACCCTCTGCACCCCGCCATGCACACGGGAACGCAGTTCGTTCGGCATCCGGATTTCTACCGGAACTTGTACGGCGCCTCTCACCTTGGATCCGGCGACATGTCCCTGCTGGAGACATACTCGAGGACCTTGGGCGGCCTGAGCGGGGTCATGCCACCGTCCACCGCCCCCAGCATACTGACGTCCTCCTCGTCGGCCGTGTCAGCCAGTGGTAACGTTAAACCTTTCTCGATCAACGGGAGCAGCGGGGGCCCCGGTGGAGGCGGCGTCGGCGGCGGCGTGCTTCTCACCACCGCGGCCTCGGGCCTCTCTCCGTCGTCGTCGTCGACCGCGTCCTCCGGTGGGTCGGATCAGTCGCCCCACCCGAGCGGAAGCCTACCGTCCACGCAGGAGCTCAAGTCACCGGGTCGAGTGTGATTTCTCACCTGCGCGGGCACGATGGACTAATTACTGCTATTATCATTATTATTATCACTATTATTAACGAGGAAGTTAATTCGAGGAACGCGGGCTCGCCGCGCAGCCGGGTCCGCGCGGCGTCGTGTGGTGTGGATGACAATAATAATCAGAGACTACAACCTTGTAATTAGTGTACAGTAACTGAACGAACAAAACGTCGTCGGAACGAGATACATGATATGTACTGCCTCCCAAATCCCTCGTCTCTCTCTCTCTCTCTCTCTTTCTACCTTTCCTAATCTCCCAATCTCTCTGTTTCTCTCTCTCATTGTCCCTTTTTTTTTCCTTTTTCGATTCCCTTCTCGCTTTCCCTCCGGATCCTCTCCTGTTTCTCTCGCAACTTGATTCTTTGCCTCTCTGTCTCTCTCTATCTCTATCTCTATCTCTATGTCTATCTCGTCCGTCGTCGCGCTAGTTCTCCTTCCGTCGTCGACGAGAACGGGACAAGGGAGAAAGAAAAGATTGGAAATCGATCGACGAAAGATCGGCAAAACCACGGAAAAGAGGAATCGTAGGTCCCGTGTTTATTCTCTTTCGTGTAGAGCCAGCCAGCAGCGCAGCTAACCGCGGTTTCAAGGGAAAATAAGACAAAAAAAATAAAAAATAAAAAGAAAAGAAAGAAAACGAAGAAAAAAGATACACTCTATCCTAGGCGTGTCGTCTACTATGACAGTAATTATATACATAAAGAATACTATATATATAAATACACCTAAACGATTAATAATTATTTATGCGTTTGTAAATAGTAGAGAGGGCCCAGTAGAGAGCGTCCGGCCAGTGTATGTATTGTATGTAGAGTAGGTACGATATTATTATAATATTGGAGATCATAATTCATACTAACGATGATGACGATTATTATTATTATTATTATTATTATTAATTATTACGATTAATTATTATTATTATGGATTATTATTATTATTATTATTATTATTATTATTATTGTTATCGCAATGTTTATAACATTATCGATTCACGTCGACTCGGTCGATCATGACGAGGTATGGATCGTTGATCACTGTGACAGATTACGGAGGACGCGCGGAGCGCAAGAAAAACCGCGCGAGAAAAAACCGACGTTGGAGGCGTGCGTCTTGCGCCTGAGTTTCTCCGTTCGTAAGTATTATTTATTTATTTGCCCGAGGGCGTTTTCGCGCCACCGTGTCAACCCCGGAGAAATCGTCGCAGATTGTGATAATATGTGCTAAACCGACGATACATCGTTCGCGACGCGTTTCCGTCTTTCCCTCTTTTTGTTTTGTTTTGTTTTGTTTTCCTTTTCCTCCCTCTTCTTCTCGCACTCGTTTCTTGCCTCTGATATATTCTCTGAACGCGCTCGACTCCGCCCGTAATCTGACAGAAGCTGGGAACTCGCGTTGCGCCCCGACCTGTCCGCGACGCAGGATGCGTGTGTGCGTGCGTGCATGCATGCCTCCCTCCCTCCCTCCTCCTCCCCTTTCGCGTACCTTTTCGCGAAAGGTCTAAGGGTAGAAATACGAACGAATACCGCGCACGTACTTGCGCGCTACACTATACGCAGGGAGGAGGTTCGCGACGTTCTCGTTAGACGAGACGCGACAGCCGCAGGGCGCAGCGACCGTCAACATATCATGTCATGTCGAGAGTGAACGATCGCCATCACCTTTTAGTCATTCGTGTCCAAAATTTCACGCGAGCTCACTTGATGCCACATTGGCAGATGGCTTGC